AAAGCCCCCAATACACAAAACACAACGTTGCCAGCTAATCAAGACAAAAAAAACGCTACAAAACAGACAGAAGATATTAGAAACATCAATCAAGCAGAACATAGCAAACTCCAAGACCAATAAACACAGACCAAGACTCCCAACCAATCAGGATGAAAAAAACACCATTCTAACAAAGCATGAGGCTAGCACCAAATTTAAAACAGAAACAGCTGCAAAAACCTGACACACAAATGACAAAGACGAACCCAATACATGAGCCTGATGATGGCAGATGAGATTCTGCCAAAACGTTGCTACAGCTTTAAAAGCACAACTATAATGACCTGGGAAAATTCCCGAACAAAGCTGAATACTATATATACACACACACACACACACACACACACACACACACACACACACACAGTGTGTGTGTGTGTGTGTATCTATGTCTATATATATCTATATCTATACATATTTTGTGTATGTGTGTGTGCATATAAAACATAATTAATAGGTTCATAATTGTTGTATTCTCCTAGAATATTTCTCCCATCATATTCCACCCATCAGAAAATCAAAGTATTTTTAATTTCAAATCTAGACTTGAAAGAGACTGTAATAAGTGTAGTAAATTAATCTCACTAAATATTAATTTAAAATGGAAATTATGCATGCTTAGACAACTTCCCAGAAAGAGATTCTTAGCAACTGACTAATAATTACAATTATAGTTTTTAATCAATGTATGTTTTTTCAGTTGTGGTTGAATCTGTGTTTCTTTCAAAGCAGTTGGGAAACAAACAGAGACCAGGCAAAGAACAAGTTTGTATTGCCTTATATGGCCCTTCTGGCACACATATGTGCACACCTATCTGTATCCTATTTTTCCTCAACAGAGAAAAAAGAAGGCAAAATACTTGCCTTGCACAATGTAATATTTCTGCTAATGTTGGTGTCATGGCCAAAATCTCCCCCATTTATCATGCCTTTCTATTCTTGGAGAAACTGCCAATTTCTGCTGTATGAAGGGAAAGATCAGGATAAGCAGCCTGCAATCTTTATCTAATAAACACCCAAATTTAGATAACAATGATAAATCTATTGTAAGCAAGTTCAGGAAGAACATAAGTCGGTTCAACTGCATCTTCCAACTAATATCCTTTGGTGCCAAAGAAGTTTCTCTGTATTAGTAAAGAAATATCATTGAAAGGATGACCCATTGGATCAAGGGATGTCTAGTTGTACTATATTAAAAAACCTGTATCACATGGTCTCCCTCGCTAAATTCTGAACATTGGTTATGATTTGTAAAGCTCTTCAAAAGTAAAGCATCCTCCCTCTATTACATTGCTATTAGATACCTTTCTAAGGCTCTCTTACTATTTAAGATATAATAGAAGTTTACTGAATAAGGGGCTTTCAAAATTTTGTATTTTGGCTGTGTAATCTTGAAAGAATGTTGTCCTGGTACTTGCCTTAATGACATTTTAGGATCAAGTGCATTTTTAAAAATTTTCTCCATCTTTTAGTTAGCCTGTATTTTCTCTGTTGATTATCTTAGCTAGCATGCTCTTTAACACTGCAAGTTATTTAAGATTGATCATATCACTGATGGCTTGATGCACCCAAATTGGAGAAAATAGTAGCTTCCCTCCCCCCCTCCTGAAAAAAAATCAGGCTCGTCTAGCTTCTCTCTCTGTCTCCCTCTCCTTCTCTCTCTCTCTCTTTCCTACTTTGTTAACTGATCTTCATGATAATCTGATACTGAGCCATGATTCTATTCAGCAAGTCAATGGAAAAATAATTTGTAAATGAAGAAGAAAAGGGGAAATAAAAAGAATCCCATAGTTGTCCTTAAATGAAGTTAGTGCTGTGTGGATATTACGTTTATTATTAGCTTGGATAAGCTTTCTATTTCATTTGTTTTTCCTTTGGATTTCCAGTCTTGTGCCAGGGAATCTATTGAGGTTTAGGCAGAAAACCCATTTTATTCTGAGCCCAAAACATCTGAAATAGATATTCTGAGCTTAGAATATTTTATACATGCATAATATCTGTACAGTTAGAAAAATCTATGCTTACAGTGATGCTGGACTCTGCAGGAAAAATCATATAGCCTGATAGCATTTTGGAAAATACTGCTGGGTGGGGCTGTTTTTTAGTGAAGAGACCTGCACTAATTTAAGCACACAGAGTCTTTTTGTTGCTGCTGCTGTTAAGACCAATGGGCATTGTCTTATGCAAAGCTTGAATAGAACATTCTTCACTTTTGCTGTTGAATTAATATTTTTGAACATTTTCTGCCAATTTATGTAGGTTTCTAAATGTCACTAAGTATGATTCTAAGCAGCATTTGTAAATTTAATCGAAGTCTTTCTCTACGGAAACTAAAACAAGGAGCAGCATGTGTGAAACAAATATATCACCACATGGATTATTCATTGAATTTTTAACATAATCATCTTGAGCCTCATGACTACATTATTTGTTGAAGTTTCAAGTATCCTGAGAAGATATCAAATTCAAGATTCAACTACTCTTAAGTGGATTGTCCTATACATGGTCCAGAAACTATAGTTGCCTCCTGAGTTATTCTATCTATTATTTATTCTATCTGTAGGTCATTTTGCATGGTAAGAGACAAGGTAGTAGTTGTAATAATGAGCACTACCTCTCTAGGCACTCTTCAAGTGAAAAGTGTGAATATTTCTTGAAACAGTATTATGAGGCTACTCGTGATAAGTACCATATATATATATATAATTTTAACCCAGATATATAGTGGCTTTAAAAATATCTCTCTGTGTGCGTGTGTGTGTGTGTGCATGTATGTATGTGTGCATGCACGTGCATTCATATGCATATGTTATATGTGTTAAATCTGCAAAAGTTCAAAGGTTTTTCTCAGGTAAATAAATTAAAATTCCCCTTAAAATTAAGATTTTGAAATATACTCTTGCATCTTTCTTTTCTTTCCAACTAAATCATTAAATAACTTTTTATCAACAAAGTGATTCTACCAGGAAAAGGTTGAACACAATGAACCAAATATTAGAGGCAATAATTAAAAAAAGAAATAATATTTGTGCATTCCTAATAGAAGAAGCTATAATAGGTTTTCAAATATTTAGCAATTCTGTTTGAATCTTCAGTAAAATACTTAACTGATTAGTCAAAATAATTATATTTAAAGCTGCTAGATGTTCAGTATTTGTGGGAGGGTTTTACTTATGTGTATGAAATTATGAATAAGTAACCACTATACTTCAGTGCTATTTTATTATTGTGGTAATATGCTTACACTTCTAGTTGCATTAATCTTACCATGAACATTCCATTCTTTCTCTTGATCAAAATAGTTTTGGAATCCATTTTATTTCATTTATAACATTTCTACAGATTTTCATTCATAATGCATAGCAGTTATGCAGGTTTCAAATTCTAAACACCTAGAGCTCTGACCAATGGGGAAAACAAACACCAGATGCTTAACTGTTACACCTGAAAAAACACCTGGGATAATTATTGAGAAAAATAGGATATTTCTTGGACTATGAGCATACAAGCTCTTAAGGACTGGAGAAAGCTGCTATTAATGGGCATTTCATGTGTAGCTATATACAGGACTCCAATAAAAATACTTATTGAAATTTCTCCTGGATGTTAGCTTTAAGTGCCACAAAACTGTTACTTTCAATGCAATAAACCAATATAGATATCATTATCTTTATTTTTTAAGCTTTTATTTTTATTATATGATGTATATTTAAAATGGAAGTATGATACAACGATCCAAGTCCTTTGAAGCATGTTCATATCGTTAGCCCTATTTTTTTAAAAAAACTTCCTTTTGCAGGTAAATATGCAGAAGATATCTTTGGAGAACTTTTCAATGAGGCGCATAGTTTTTCTTTCCGAGTGAATTCCTTACAAGAACGTGTGGATCGTTTATCTGTCAGTGTTACACAACTTGATCCAAAGGAAGAAGAGCGTGAGTTTTACAAAAATAGTAGATGTGTTACTTTATGGCTTGTACCAGATGTGGTTATCATTTGAAAATATTGGTCCTGAAGACATTTTTATCTATTATTTCCAGTTAGCAGATGTTGCACTATAAATCTAAAGCAAACCAGTATAAACAGCCTTTAAAATATGCCATTGAGAACATAAAATACATGATTGAGAACATGTAAAAGTTGTTTTCGGTATCCCACTGAATAATCTGTGTTCTGAGAGATCAAATTTCAGTTAGCTGTGTTTGAGAGCAGATTTCAAGTGAAATTTGCCATAAAGCAGTTGCCATACTGATACATGCCATAGCTGAGAGTCCTGCACAGGGCTAACAAATACTGATTTGTAAAAACTCATCAGGTTGTTAATTGATTAGATGAAGAGGAAGAAACTGAAATTTGATCCAAAAATATAAGTGGTGGTTCTCTGTTTCATAAAACTAGTTTCACAAAACTAAAAAACTAGTTTCACAAAACTAGTTGAATATGAATATATTTGTTCCATAAAATTATGTTCATGACTTGGATATAATCCTTGAACTGGTAGTGGTATTTAGGAAGCCCTGGGATCAGCTTTGACTTGGTAGCCACTGTGGCCCTATTCCTGGAAAAAACAGTGTTGTTACATTTTTGAAGCTTATCAATAGAAAGGTAGATAGATCCTCTGTATACTGCTCTGGGCTCCTTCAGGAAAAAGCACAATATAAAGATAGCAGTAATTGTAATGCAATAGAAAATCATAAGTCAGTGATATTAGTGAGTAATATACTAATAATATACTAGTGAATTGTGGTAATGAAGAACCAGTGACAAAGTTTATGAAAAACTATGACATTTTGAATGAATGTAGTCTTGTTGAAATGATAGACTTTCTGAAAGGCAGAGGAGAAGGAGGAGGAGGAGGAGGAGGAGGAGGAGGAGGAGGAGGAGGAGGAGGAGTAATGTAGGAGCTGCTTGAATATAGGGAGTCACCTTACAATTGGGATTGGGAGTGC